TGAGATGAAGTGTATTAGTAGTGTTTGTTCATGTTCGTGACCAATTTGCGATTAAACTTAATTAAACACATTTTAAATCTAATATAAATTAATGTGAGAGTGATAATGAGTCATATAAACATCATTTGAGACATAAGTTTTGTTTTTTTTTTTATGTTCGTCGGAGTTGGTACTAAAGACCCGATATCTGGTATTAGAACACCATTTAATGAGTACTATCTAACTTTAGGGCTGGTACTAATTCCAAAAATGTTGACCAAAATTAAATTGTCCGTTTTCGTTGACCAAAGTAGGTACTAATTGATTAAAAACATGTTCTTCGTAGAAGAACTATTGGTACTAATTGTTGTAAAACTTGTACCATTTTACTAATCTTGATTTTTTTTAATCCGTCGAGTCTCTATGTCACGTGGAGACTGTCGAGAGTTTGAAGGAGAAAAACCACTTTAAAACGACTTCTTAGAGACGTTCGTTTTAATTATGAGGGCTCCAATGTGTCCTGAAAATCATCCTTACAATCTCTATTGATTCAAACTATCAACAAACAATCGACTCTCTGTACAATGCAATAAACCGTTGAAACTTTAATTGCATCTATGATTTGCACATATAATCATCCAAGCACATTATACTCTTTTCATACAGTAAAAACTCATTCATAACATTTTACCAAACATAGATATATAGTTTTCCTTGTAAATCCAACCAAATTAGAATAGCATACAATTTGTTATTTATTCCGGATAAAATTATGCGTGAGGAAGACAAATACTGGAAATGTGAACATCAAAACATGGACATGCCTATAAAATTAAATAGATATTTAATAATTAAACATATCCATGACCATCTAAAGCGACAACAATTTGGTTCCAAAACCCCTTGCAGAATACATAAAAGCCTAAATATGTCATAAGTTGCAAATGATCAACACTTTCAAAATTCCCAAGAAGCCTATTTACACAAAGAAGTCAAGAACCCTACTTCAATCTAATTATTATAAAAAAAATAGCCAGCTAGAAGAAGAAGCATGCCATTCTCCACACAAAAACGGTTTAGAAAACGCAAAAATCCTTCGACACATCACCAGACGACAAAGCAAATGTGATTCTCGAATTCATCGAGACATCTGAGTCCCCTGATAGAATTGTACAGCATGGATATCCCCGAAACAATCGAGGCATCTTCACACCAACTTTTGATCCCCTGCTTTGTTCTTCCTCATGTCCAAATGAACCGGTTCCAATATTTTGCACAATTTCCATTGAATTTTCCTCAGACGAGAAAAAGCTCAAAAGCCGATGGCCTCAGAGAAGCCGACAACAAACACCTATCGATAACACGCCTCACTTAAATCCTTCACTCTCTCCAGACCAGTCGACTTCACGCCATTCGAGACCTTCTTGAAAATATTGGTCGGGTTCGTGCACTCGCAATAAGGATACTCCAAAGTCATCATCTCCATCAAACACAAACCAAATGCGTACACATCCACAAACTCATTGTACTCCTCGTCATAATACTCGGGGCCATGAATTCCGGTGTTCCTGCGAGGACAATGGCCGGAGAAGACTCCATTTTGGTGGCCAGCCCGAAATCTCCGATCTTGACCTTGTCGTTGGTGATGTCGATGAATATGTTGTCACACTTCAAATCCCGGTGGACGATGCAGGGAGTTTGGGTGGAGGTAGTGAAGGCCTTCTAGAATATGCCGGCCTCAATTCTTTATGGTCTGCAAATCGAGCCCGTCGAGTTTCTTCATGTACCTCTTTAGGCTCCCGGAGGAGAAAAGCTCGATTATCAGGTTCACCGTCATGTTCGGGTAATCGACCCAGTAAGAATAGCACCTCATGACGTTTGTGTGGGAGAGAGAGTTCAACAGGACAGTCTCGGCACACAAACGGCCTGAATTTCTGGGGAATTTTTAGGGTTTTGTCGTCATCGTCACCGAGGCAGATCTGATTCCAGGCGATATCTACTCCGGTAAGCCGATCGAAGCCCCTGTAGACGTCCTTGAAGGCTCCCCTGCCAGGATCTGCTCGAAACGGATGAAGCGGCCGCACGGCAATTTCTCGCCGGCGTCGGGCTCGTCGGTACCCGTTTTGGCTCGTGAAACAATTTGAATTCCATGAAGAAGACAATTGACGATTGAGTCGAGTATGGAAGGAAGGGAGAAAAAAAGATCACGACAATTTGATTTAAAAAAAAAAAAAAAAAAGAGCGAGAGCGAGAGAGAGAGAGAGAGTATAGATGAGGGAGAAGATTTTTTTCTTCTACATGCTTCAATGTTTTACCATTAAAAATAAATGAACAATAATAAGAGCATCTTTAACAATGATTTTTCATAAACCTCACTTTTACACTTCCCAACATGTCACATCATTTAAAACCTCATATTTACTCCTACACCTATAAACATCCAATAACAATAAACCCCATACACCTTATTTTCTATGGGTCCCATACTTTTCTAATTTATTAATATTTTAACATTATAACTCTACTTTTTATTTTTATTAAATGTAAGTATTTCATATATTTATCATAAATACATCTAAAAATAATATAATTATATTATATAATTTATAATTATATATAGTTATGTTATATTATTTATATATTATTTTAAAAACTAATTTGCAATTCAAATTAGTTTTTTGTAACAATATTACAACTCATTTAAAAAAAAAAAAAAAGTATTTCAAAAAAGGGACGGAGTGTACAAAAATAAAATAAAAAACCAAATAACAAAAGTGGCAGCCATGCTTAAAAATAATGAACTAAAAAAATAAAAAATAAAAAAATGGGCCCACAAAAGAGGTTTGAGGGAGGTTTTTGTTTCCAAACCTGTTGTGGGAATGTAAACCTCAAACCTCTCTCTTTTAATAACAAAAGTTGAAGAGGAGGTTTATAAACCTGAGGAAAACCTCGTTACTAAAGATGCTCTAAGGTAGTATATATATGGGTAGTGATAAGGGCATCTTTAACAAGAGGTTTTAGTGAGGTTTATAAACTTCACTTTTAGAGGTTTAACTACTAGAGGAGGAAGGTTTAAGGTTTACAAATGTAAACCAGGTTTACATTCTTAAACCTCATATAAACCTCAATAAAAAATATTAAAAGTACAAAAAGTGGAATTGTAATGTAAAAATATTAGTAAAAATATAAGAGTATAATGTTGAGTGGGAAACATGTGGGACCATACAAAAGAGGTTTATAGATTTTATTATTATTGGAGGTTTATGTGTGTAGGAGTAAGAATGAGGTTTTGAATGATGTGGCATGTTGGGAAGTGTAAAATGAGGTTTATGAAAATTTATTGTTAAAGATGCTCTTAAGGAAAGAGAAATTAGAAATAGGGACTGAGGAGGAACATTAAAAGCAAAGGGGACTGAGGAGGAAATGAATTTGTAGTTTGGGATTTTAGAAGAATTTTCCGAAAGTTTAATGATACTAAAAATATATAAAAAATAATATAGAAACTGACAGACACCGAAAGATCTGATCAAATCTTTTAGGTAAACATAGCACTGATTTATTTTGTATGGTAACTATCAATTGAACCATCATTAGACTATCTCTAGACTATTTCATGCATTAATTTGAACATTTTTTTTTTTTTCGGTACAAAGAAGGAGGCCAAAGACCTGAGTTAGACTAGAATTCTACGGGGGTACGAGACCCCAATAATGTCATGGTCAAGCCATGGGCTAAGACCAAGAGGAGATGAAGACAATATCTGCAATCCAATCGGGCAAGCCACCAAACTCGCTAAATGATCCGCTGTAAAGTTGTCTTCCCTGTGAACATGCACGACCTTAACGTTCCACTCACGCTGGAGCAAACTGCGCACGACCATCACCAAGGTGGCATTCTCGCCACACACAACATCTTTCATGCATTAATTTGAACATATTAACATCACCAATGTGTGAATGCCACATAAGCGGTGGACATATTAACATGTGTCAACCGTGGGTAGGGAACATTACTGTTGTGTAAATTGTGAAAATCATAAATACTTGTTTTTTCACACTCGAGCTTCCAACCTAGGAAGGTGAAAACTTCATGTCTCTTGAGAAGAAAACATAAACCACCAAACTAAGGACTTGACAGATTAAAGAACAATGGGAACTTCAGTGTTTCTTCAGCTTATGCCTAGTTAATTGGGGAAAAAAATGGAATTTTTCTTTCTGTCCGGATTAGTGTTCTGTTGCTGGCTGTTTATTTAGGAGTTTTTTCTGGTTTGTTGTTGTTGTTGTTAGAGGTTGTGTTCTTTTCTTCTTAGTGTTGTTGTTTGTGGTGTTGGGGTTCTTGCCTATGAGTTGCTGCTGTTTTGTTCTTGTTGTCTTTTAGTGGTGTTTGGTCTGGTTACTGCTGCTGTCTTCCTGGTTGGCTTGCTTCTGTTATTTCTCTTTGGGGCTGTTAGTGGATGTTTGGTTGGTTGTTGGCCGGTGTTGATTTGTTGTTGTGGTTTCTTCTGGTTCTGGAGTTGAGTCTGGCTAGGTCTCCTACAGGTTCAATGGTCAACAACTCTTTCGGTGTTGTCTTTTGTTTTGCAGCTGGGATGATCTTCGTGCCTCCGAACGCAGTGCGCTAGTCTCTGCTGTTTGCATGAAGTTATTTTCCGTTGTTTTATGTAGGGCACTATTGTTAGTAGCAGCAGGTTGTACTTTGTTTTTTCCGTGATATAATAT